TATATATATATATATTATGTCTCCTTTACTTGGTTGTATCTAAATTTCAGAAGATGGTACTTATTTTTATAGGCCAACTGGTAATCAGAAGATCCTCAAGAGCTCTGCGTGTCATTGAAGTGTGGCTTCAGTATTTGGTGGCTGAAAATTTAGAAGATGAGGTGTCCATGTCTTGCTTTGTTCTTTTTTTTCCTCTTCAGGCCTATCCACTCAGTTCTCTCAAATAGTTTATGATGCTCTGAATCACATACACCTAGGGAAATTAGAGACCATCTTGTTTTTCTCCTGCTTACTGTGTTTCTGTGGTGTTTGCTTATGCTCTTAGAATCATAGAGATTGCAGCCTGTCACTCTGCCCATACATCTGCTGCCAAGACCCAAGGTGGGCACGTGTACATGTGGGGCCAGTGCCGGGGCCAGTCAGTGATCCTCCCCCACCTCACCCACTTCTCCTGCACCGATGATGTGTTTGCCTGCTTTGCCACCCCTGCTGTCACCTGGCGCCTTCTCTCTGTGGGTAAGTTCAGCCTTGTATGTTTGGAGCAAAACTAAGAAGAGAACTGGGTGCTAAATATCAGGACTTCATTAGATAGAAGAGCTAATTAATTTCCTTTCTGTGGGCTCCTGTGAAAGGGAACTAAGTTAACTGATTTTCTTAAAACTACTGGGAACCAACACCAATATTAAGTTGAAGTAATTTGATTTAATTGATTTTTGATTTTACCAGGAAACTTCATCTTCTATTTTTAGCTGGATTATTTTCTTGGAGACAGTCTAGAATTTTATTCAGTTAGTGAAGTAGGTGGGGACTTTTGTTATTTAGCCAAACTGGTAAAAAACATGCAGAGATGTGAATCCTTATCCAGGGGTAAAGTCTTGCTCAACTGGTTAGTTACATCAGGGAGTTAGTAGTTCATGAGTGCCTAAGGGTAAGGCCTCCTTGCCTGCATGTCCCTCTCTCTGTGACTGAGCCTAGAACTGCTGTGTTGCTCTCCTAGAACCTGATGATCACCTCACTGTGGCTGAGTCACTGAAGAGGGAATTTGACAATCCTGACACAGCAGACCTCAAGTTTCTGGTTGATGGAAAATACATTTATGCACACAAAGTCCTTCTCAAAATTAGGTAAGAGTAGGCCAGCAAGATGGCTCAGTGGGTAAAGGCATTTGCCACCAAGCCTGATGCTCTGGGTTTGATCTTTGAGACCCATATGGTAGAAGGAGAGAACTGGCTCCCACAAGTTGTTTTCTGATCTCCAAATGGGCACCCTGGACATGCACACACACACAAAATAAATGTTTTCAAAAATTAAGTAAGAGCTCATTTCTTTTGAGAATTGAAATCTGTTCATTTGACAATTATTTCCTGTATCCAAGGGACTGTGCTAGGCACTTGAGTAATTAAGAGAAAGTGCTGCAAGGCTGTTTTTTGCCCTTAAAGCACACTGTGCAGCTGGGCGGTGCAGCTAGGGGGAACGTGACATGGAAAGTGAAAAGTAATGCAGGAGAGTCACAGTGCTGAGTGTGTTCAGAGTTGGCCCTGCAGCCATTCTTTTTGTTTTTTGTTTTTTGTAATATTTTATTTATTATTTTTATTTTATATGTGTGCATGTATTGCCTGCATGTAGGTAAGTGTACCCATGTTGTCTGTGCAATGCCTGCAGAGGACAGAAGAGGCTGTTGGATCTCCTGGAACTGGAGTTACAGACAGTTGTTAGGTGCCATGTGAGTGTTGGGATTCGAACCGAGGTCTTCTGCAGGAACAGGGTTCTTAACTGCTGAACCATCTCTCCAGCTCAAGAGTCAGCCCTGAAGGCATTTTTTAGAGGTCTGGAAAGCTCCTTTCTTTCATTAGAAAGCAGTGAGCTTTTGCTTGGTAAATATGTTCTATCCTTTGAACATGGCCAAGTACTTTGACCTAAGTCCCTCTCCCTGCCTTAGTCCTGAGCACAGCAGTCGTAATCACTCTCCTCAGGCAGCTGTGGGGTACTTAGCTTTCAGATGCTTAAAAATAGAGAAAGTGAGTCTCTTCTAGACCAATGAGGTCTGAGTGATGCCAACACAAAAATGACTAAAATTGCATTTCTTGATGTTTAATTTCTGAACAATGGTGGGTATCTGCCTCACCTTTGCCCCATGTACATGGTCTATAAAACTACTACCCCACTTCTGGACACAGAAAAATTCTGCCATGCCTCAAAGGTCCCATAGGCCTAGCCTGGGCAGCCACTGATGTGTCACCCTGGATACTCAGTGTTTTCTAGAGGTTTATATAAATGAAATGATATAGTATCCATTCTTGTGTGCCTGGCTTTTTTTTTTTTTTAAAGCATGATTTTGAATTTCATTGTAGTTCTGAAACAGATATTTAAATCCTTTTATGACTCACAAACTCATGTGGTGTTTCAGTCTCAAGTTCCCATTTCATAAGGTCACACTGTGCCACATGTGTCCACTTTCACCATAGTGGGTGCACTGTCATAAGGAAAGGGGATGGGGAATATTTGACTGTGATAGAGCACTGCACACACATGGCCTAAACCATAGAAACTTACTCTCTCATGCTTCTGGACGCCTGAAGCCAAAGATCAAGGTGTCAGGTATGGTTTTTCTCTGAGGCTGGGAGGGAAAATATGTTCAATGCCTCTACTTGAGCCTCTGATGATTTGTGACAAGCTTTGTCATTTCTAGGCATGCCATGTGACATTTTCACTGTGCGTGTCTGTGTCCAAATTTCCCCCTTTGTCTGATTGCCTTAGGACCCACCACAGTGACTCATGTTGATTACCTTTGTGAAGACCCTGTTTGCAAATAAGGTCACATCCTAAGGGACCAGAGGTTAGAACTTCCAACATAGAAACTTTTAGGAAGTAAACTTCAATCTATATGAAATAAAGAAACAAATTTACTCAGGGTTATAAAAATATTAAAAAATGGAAGAGTACTGACTGCTCTTGGCAGAGGACCCAGGTTCGATTCCCAGCACCCATGTGGCGGCCAACAACTGTCCTTAACTCCAGTTCCAGGGGATCCGACACCTTCTTCTGACCTCTGTGGGTATTGCATGACACAAGCATACTAACACACATGCAGGCAATATACTCATACGCATAAAGAAGTATTTATATAGATAGACCAACCAACTGACAGACAGATAGGTAGATAATTTATATAAAATCAGTAAAGACATTGTGAGAAAGATGCCAAGGAGCCCTGTACTGTCTCCATCAGTTCAGCTGTAGCGGCAGCTGCCTGGGCCACCCACAGCAACAGCAGGCTGCATTTCAGTCATATTGAATAACTGAAAATTAGGAGCCAAGGCACGGATGTTGTGTTAGATAGCTTTCTGTCAGCATAATAATGTCTGAAATAATTAACTGACAAAAAGGTTACTTTCTTGGGATTGACCCCAGGGCACTGCCTAGCTATGACTCCAGCTGAAAAAGTTTATTTTGGCTTACAGATTTAGAGGTTTCAGTCCATGATTAGGTTGCCCCATTGTTTATGCCTCTTGCAAGGTAGCATATCATGGTGGTGACTGCCTAGTGGAACAAAACTGCTTATGTTACAAGGCAGAGGGCACAAGAGGAGGAGGAGGAAGAAGGGACTTGGGTTCTACAGATCCCTTTGAGTGTATGTTCCCCATGAACTAAGGCCTCACACCAGCCTCCCCACCCCCATCTCTTTTAAGGTCCCTTACCTTTGAGGGTTCCACCACTTCCTAATAGTGCTGCCCTGGGACCAACAGATGGGCCTTCAGGAGACACTTAACATCCAGACTACCAAGCTGGAAGGTATACAGCCTCTAAGAGAAAGGTCCTCACGTAGGCCTTCAGTTCTGGCCTAGAACTTAAGATCTGACCTCTTTCCTTCTTTCAGATGTGAACATTTTCGTTCTTCGTTGGAGGACAATGAAGATGACATTGTAGAAATGAGTGAATTTTCCTATCCTGTGTACCGAGCTTTCCTGGAGTACCTGTACACAGACAGTATCAGCCTATCTCCTGAGGAGGCAGTAGGTAATCGCCACAGGTTTTACCAAGAAATTGGCAAAATGTTGAGTTACTAAGAGGGTAGTTTCTAAATATAGTCAAAAAGAAAAAACTGAGACGAGTTAAAGAAGAAATTCTCTTCTTGATGTCGAGCCCAGACATTTTCCCTTTTGGTGCTAGGGATGGAACATGGCCTTGCTCATGCTATACCACTGAGCTTCACCCCAGGCCTGTTCTAGCACTGAGCTACACCCCAGGATTGCTCTACCACTGAGCTGCACCCCAGGCCTTGCTCATGCTCTACCACTGAGCTGTACCCCGGGCCTTGCCATGTTCTACCATTGAGCTGCACCCTGGGCCTTGCCATGTTCTACCACTGAGCTGCACCCCGGGCCTTGCCGTGTTCTACCATTGAGCTATACCCCTAGGTCCTGAACACAACTCTCCTTATGTTGCTGTTTCACATGAAGGCTGAGCAGGTAGATCCAGTGAGCCTTGGTCAATGGAATACCAGTCCCTATTAGAGCATCATGGGCAGCAGAATGAAGAAAAGGGACAGAGATCATGGGACAGAGGTCAGATCCCAAGTGTCTCCAAAGGCAGGGCCCTAGAAAGTCTGTTCATTCAGTGCTCCAGAGTAGATCAAAGCCACATCCTACTACGTGGGATGCTGGAAAATGGGTGTTTCCAGATGGTGGGATGCTGGAAAGTGGGTGTTTCCAGATGGTGTGGCTCAGCTAAACATTGTATGTGTGCGCGTGCGTGCGTGCATGTGTTGGGGCAGTAGTTGTTGCCATCAGAGTGATGTGATTTGGGGGCTTTTTTTTTTTCTTTTTTTTTTTTTTTTTTTTTTTTGGAAGCAGGGGCCCCCTTTTGGCCAAGCTGTCGTGGAACCCACTTTGTAGACCAGGCTGGCCTTGACCTCATAGAGATCCGCCTGCCACTGCCTCCCAAGTGCTAGGCCTACAGGCATGTGCCACCATGCCTGGTGTGATTTGTTTTTAAAAGATCAGTAATTACAATGACTCAGGTGTGAGATGCTGTTGTCTAGGTTAGGGGATATAGCTTTGCAGGTGTTTAAAAGAGACCAGATTCTAGCTAGATATACTTTAAAGAAAAACCAGATGGGATCTGTCCATGGCTGAGACATGAGAGGTAAGGAGAATTGTCTGTGCTGAGGTATTTTCCTCTTGTAGCCACGTTAGTGGAAGTGTAGGTCACCAAGATGACAGATGGAGATCTGTCAGATGGAGGCTTTGCTTTTGACTTTGAATACCCAAAGGAATTTGAGTGCTTAATAAACAAGAGTGTCAGGTTTTTTGGTTTTTTTTTAATATAGTTGCACCTCTAACATTTATAAAGCCCTGAAAAAGAGTCCAAATGGAGGCCTACCTACCCTGTGTTTAAACACATTTCAAATGAAATATGTCTGATCTTCCTACCTTGAAAAATATACCTTCATTAAGACCTAAAGGGTCCCATTTCAGTTTTGCTTCTGTACTAGATAGAATGCAGTGCCCCAGAAGGGGTAGATCTGGCCTTCAGATCACAGTTATTCCTATATGACAAGAGTGTATGGGCACTGCAGCCTGCCAGCCTGTGTCCAAGCTCTGTGCACCTGAGCTTGGGGCAGGGCATGTGTCTGCACATTGTTGCTAGAGGGAGGAAACCTGCAGGTGTGCAGTCTCAAGCAACTAGGCAGGAAATTCCAGGTGTTCAGGGACCCAAAATGTTAACCTAGACATGAACTTGGGGCTCTGTAACCTCCCTGTGATAAGGATGTAGTTGGGGAGGTGCAGCACCCTGCTGAGGGCAGTGACTCTTGAGGCCTGTGCTTGTGTGTGTGATTCTGAAGCTGTAGGCATTTGGGGCTATTGGAATGAATTTGAGAATGACTGAGAACTGACCCAAAACAATCATTCACAACTCTGAAGATTTTAGAAGGTTTAAGTATCTTGTTTTGGGCCATGGTACTTCATTTTCTAATTTTGATAATTTTTGCTGTTACAATGAAAGCCAATTTCCATTCAGATTCTAGCACATGTATAAAGTTCCTTAGCAGATAAACACATAGTATGTTAAGATTGATGAATCCCAGCTTTCTGTCCTTCAGGTGCTCTGGTAAGGATCACTGCATGAATGGCTATCGCAGGAATCAGCTTGTAAAGTAGTTACGTGTTAGCAGGCTTGGCGGACATTGGGGCTGGACCCCACTCTCTGATAATCAACAGACCAAGGACTAGACCCTGCAAGCCTCTGATTACTGCCAGGAGGAGACCCTGACATCCTGAACTGCCCAGAAAGTCACTGAATTGATAACTACCTAAATTTAATTCCAAAAGCTTTAAACATTGTGAGACTACTAATAGAAAGCTTTCTGATAAAAAAAAAAATAAAAACAAAAAAACAAAGGCATACCACAGGCCTGTCAGTCACTGGAAAGGGCAGTGTCCCTCAGAAAAAGCTGTTTGTTTTAAGAACTTTAAAAGTAGTATAAAGAGTCCCATACTATAAAGAGCCAGTGTGATCACCCAGCAGGTAAAGGCACATGCAGCTAAGGCCAACAACCTGAGTTCCACTCCCCAGACCCACATGGTAGAAGGAGAGAACTGGTTGTCCTCTGGCCTACATATGTGCACCATGGCATCCCCTCTCATATACACACACTCTCTCTCTCTCTCTCTCTCTCTCTCTCTCTCTCTTATACACACACAAACACATACACACACACGCACACACACACACAATACACATACATGCACCCACCCATGTTCTTCTCTCTCTCTCTCTCAAGGTATTAAAAAAATATGAAAATAAAAGTGAGGAACACTGGCTGGTTTTACAAAGGACCTGGCTTTAACTCCTAGGAACCACATGGTAGGTAACAACCATCTGTAACTCCAGTTCCAAAGCGTCCCATGCCCTCTTCTGGCTTCTACTGTAGGCATTGCATGCCCATGGTGCATACACACATAGGCAGGCAAAACATAAATTTTTTTTAAAATCTAAAAAAAAATTTAATAGTTATGTATATGGTATATATGTACATATATATTTAGAAATAAAATTGATATAAAGTGTCTAAAATGCAGATCTGCACAGTGGTCCCTTTGCCATTTCTTTTTTTCACCCTCTGAGTGTGAGCTCTGCTCTACTCTACAGTAAACTCTGCCCATCTTCTACACTACGCTGTGCGCCTTGTCTGAATTCTCAGCAGAGATCACAAGGACAGTGGGTGGGGGGGAGCTGAGAGGAGTCCAGACCTAGATCCCAGTGATCGGCCAATCTTTGGTCAAATGGCAGCCTGGGTTTAACTGTAGACCTGGCATATATTCTGCTGCCAAGGGCGTGGAAGCCACTGATGCAAGAACAGAAGGACTCGGGATGATTTGGCCAAAGCCACACACATCTTCAACACTATTCATGCACCAAGGACAAATTCTGACATTTATGCTAATTGGCAAGCCCTATAATGAAGAGTCTGACCACAGTATCTCAAAACAAATAGTGTCTCTCAAATGCCCAGTGATCATTCCTGCTTAAGAGTAGTTCGTATTGTTTTTCAAGGTAGGTTCAAATGAACTGACATGTACATGGTGGTCTCTGTTGGATTATTTAAAGTAGAGACAGATAATCAGAGGAATCATCAGCATCTCGGGATCGTATTTAAAACTAAGGGACTAGAGCTCACTTGGAGAAATAAGGGTTGAACAGTATGGCATGCATACATTTGGAAGTCAGGAGAAATAGCCCAACCAGGAGAACTTAATTAGGGAGAAGAATCAATTCATCAATTAGGGAGAAGAAAAGCATTAGCAAGTGATGAAATGTTCCAAGGTCTGATCATCATCACCCACAGCAAACAATGAGTGAATACTGAATAGGAGGAAAGTAGATCAGCCTATGGATGTGGCACTGTGGGGACCATTTGGGACAGCCACAGGTGTGTGGTGTGAGTGTGGGAGGACAGTTCTGTTTGGAATGGCTTCAGGATATGCTGGGAGATGAGAAAACATAAATACAGGGAGCTTTCTAGTTTTTCTGGAGAGGAGCAGAGATGGACAGAGAGGAACAGGAGGCAGACACATGCCCATGAAGGGGTTTTCTTTTCTCTTTATTTGGTGCTGGGGTTGAAGCAAGGGCCTTGAGCCTGCTAGGCATGTGCATCGCATCACTGAGCTACACCTCAGTCTCTGTTTTGTTCTAAGGGGACTCTGACAGCATGTGGTGTGATAGGTATGACCCGGGAGAGATTCTGCTAGTGCACAGGGAAGGGTAATTAAGAGGAACACACATCTGTTGTTTTGTCCGGGAAATGATTCAAGCCATTTTCATGCTGTTCCTGCTTTTCAGCAGCTTATCTGAGTGTTGGCTCAATTCAGCTACCCTCTTAGGGAGAGCTGCACACTCAGTGACCATCAGTGTAGTCTGTGTACACAGAACTCACCGAGCCTGACATTAACAGTGACCACATCACCTCTGAGTTGAGTCAGGATGATCAGAATACACCTACAATAAACACTTCTTTCTATCAGGACTGCTAGATTTGGCTACATTTTACAGAGAAAATCGTTTGAAAAAGCTGTGCCAGCAAACTATCAAGCAAGGAATCTGTGAGGAGAACGCTATTGCCCTGCTCTCAGCTGCAGTGAAATATGACGCCCAGGTAAGAAAAGCATCCTTCCAACTGGCCACCTTCCAGGAAGAATAAAGTTAGGTGCATCTTCGTACCTTAAATCAAAATGAGCTCCAGGAAGATGAAAATGTTATACAAAATTGAACACTAGAAAAATATGTGACTATAATGTTATACAAAAATATAAGTGACTATATAATGACCCAAAGGCAGAGACTGTAAACAATTGGTAGATCTGATTTCCAGTGATTAAAAACTTACACACCGGGGGTGAGATGGCTCAGCAAGTAAAGGCACTTGTTGCCCAGCCTGGCAACCTGAGTTCAAGCCCTGGGACCGACATGATAGAAGAGCTGACTCCCATAAGTTGTCCTCTGACCTCCACACATGTGTGCATAGACTCACACACACAAATTAATGTAATTTTTAAAAATTCATACACCAAAGAATATTCCAGAGAAGATTCAAAAGTAAATAATGGTCATGTGGAAAAATGTTTTGTATCATATAATGAAGTAAGTTTTCCATAGTAAAAAAAAAAAAGAAAAAAGAAAAGATGGGCCGTTTGAAAGAGAAAGAGTGGAGCAGAGAACACAGGGAAAATCGGAATAATATGTTAAGTACACGTGGAGGGGCTGGAGCAGTCTTTACGGTGGTGACTGTGACTTCCTTCTCTGCTTTCTCTGAACTCTCTTCAGTGGCTTGTATTGTTATGATAAAGAAAGGAAAGGAAACATTTTAGAGCTGAATCTTTAGGAAACAGGCCATAACTTCTCCCAGTCAGTTTCCTTTTGGAATGAGGATATCCTCTCCTTTGATTTAAAAAAAAAAAAAAGACAAGTGGAAAAAGGTAATGCCCTTCTCGGCAAATGTAAACAATATGCTTATTAAAGAAAATGCAGAAAACTCAAGAATTCTGAGGGTGGAAATGACTCATCAGGCAGAGATGGTACAACTTTCACCTTCCTGACACTTCTGGGACTGGAACGTCTTCCTATTTTTAAAATTTTTGTGGTTCTGGGGATTGAACCTTAAAACTTTATAAGTGCTCAGCAAGTACTGTACCATTGAGCTATAGCCCCAGCCCCCCTTTACTTTTTATTTTGATCTCACTACTTAGCCCAGGTTTCACTATGTAGCCCAGACAGCCCTTGAACTTGAGGTCTTCTTGCCTAAGGCTCCTCTGTGGCTTGAATAGTAGGCCTAAACCACCAGGTCTGACTTGTATACTTTTCTAAATACTTTTAAGTTTTGTTTTTTCACTTGGCATTCAAATTAAAACAACCACCACAGCTGGGTGTGGTGGCTGCTGCAGGTATAGGAGGTAGAGGCAGGTGATGAAGGCAGGCAGTGTCCAGAGAGGGAGCATGCCCTCCAGAAACTGGTGAGAGTAGCCTGGCCCAATCACTTGCTGGAGGAATGGTGAAAAGGATGGACTGGAACCCTAAACAGTAAACAGATTTGCTGAGGTGGATGCCAGGTAGCAAAAAGGAGAACGCAAGGATTGTGCTAAGGTGTTTGTCCTAAAGGGTGAACTGTCATTACTGAGATGGGGAAGGTGGCAAGGAGCAGCATTTTAAGGAACACCAGGAATATGGTTATGAGGGTGTCGAGTATATGATACCTATTAAACATCCAGGGAACACATCCAATGAGCACATGGCATAAACCATTCTGGAGCTGAAAGAGAAGTGTACTGAGAGCCATAAGTGGCTGTCATGAGCAGACAGGGCTGAGGATCAAGCCTCAGGCACTTGGTGTCAGAAGTGAAAGTTTTGATAAAGGGACGCTAGCAGAGTATATGAGGAACAGAAATGACTTTTTCCTGATAATTTTATAAATTTAAAGGGAAACAGGTTGTGGGGGAAAGAGAAGTATTAAGGTTTTTTTTTTTTTTTTTTTTTTAAAGAAATTGAAGCATGTTTTTATAAAAGGCAACAACCCCAGTGAAGGACAGGCTGTGGATGGGGACAGTTGCTAGATAGGTCCTTGAGTAGGTGGGGCAGTGTGGCCTAGTGAGTGTGTGAGGGGACAGGCTTTATATCCACCATGGACCATTCATTAGGGTACCAGGAAAGAGAACTGTCCACAGTGTGTAGCAAGGGAGGCAAGGAGATAGGCGGGTTAAGAGCTTATGGAGCCTCTTTTGACTGAAAAGGAAGTCACGTTTAGCTTAGGATAAGAAAGAGGAAGTTCTGGGGCCTAACAAAATATGAGAGTCATGTCAGGGAATGAATGAGCAGGAACTATGGTTTCTGTGTTTGCATGACAGAACTAAGGACTCCTTGTTAAAATGACGCTGTATAAAGCAGCAGCATTTAAAGCAGACATTAGTCTTTTACTGAAAAATGATAGAGGCCTTCTTTTGTATGGACAGACGTCTCCTTTACTGGTATCACTATACCAATTTACTGGATTCTTAGAATTACAGAACTCTTTCCAAATCCCATCCTTAGGATAATTATGGGAGATTCTCACCCAAAGTAAAAGAAGGTATATCAGAGAAACTTCCGTAGTGTCATTTTGCTCTCCCAGTAATTAGCACTTTTGCTGGCACTGTCCAGAACTTTGGGACACTCAAGTGCCCAGGCCCCCAGCCCTGTAGCATTAACACTGTAACGTGTATGATGTGGGCATGCAACTCTCCGCCCTTCTGTACAGTTCTGCCAAAGACTGGCAACTCCCTGTTTAGCTACTGGGGTATTTAACATATATCAAGAAAGCATATTTTTGTTATTAAATGTGTGAAATTTGTTTTGTCCCTGAGGGCTCCTGTGGGACCGAAATAGACTATACTGCCAGTGAGACCCTAGCAGCCGGCCAGTCTGTTCAGGGATGAAATAATTGTATTTTTCTCACAGTTGGTTTTTATTTCTTTTTAATTTTTTACTCTTATGTGTATGAGTGTTTTGCCTACATGTATGTAAGTGTACCCATGTCATGCAATGCCCATGGAAGCTGGAAGAGGGCATCGGATCCACTAGAACTGTAGTTATGGAAGGTTGTTAGCTGCCATGTGGGTACTATGAACCTAACACGGGTCCTCTGCAAGAATGTTCTTAACTGCTGAACCATCTCTCCAGCCCCATTTTCCTTTCTTAGAGAAATGTAATGCAGGTTTGTGTGCACACTGGCATAGTGCTAAGTGTTGATATATAGAGAACAGACTATAATGTGCAGCGTACATATGTAACTGCTTGGGAATTACTGAGAGCTGTATATTTTATAAATTGGCTTCAACAATATAGAAGAAATAAAAAAAAAAAAACATGAACAGGCAGCCCCTTGTGCTAGGCCATATCACAGTCTAGGGGCTGAGGCTTGCAAGGTCTCAGCAGGCTAGCTTCATGTATTCCCAGGTGAAGAAAGCATCTGGTAGGCTGGGAACATCTCAGTATAGAACACATGCCTAGCAAGCGTAGCCCACATGAGGCCCTAGGCTCATTCCTCAGTACCGATTTTAAATAAAGAGAAATACATATATTTGTAATACACGTGTGTGTGTATACATTTTTATTTGGTTCTGAAGATTGAACCCAGGGCTTCACACATACCAAGCACATAATCTACCACTTACTCCCCAGTTAAGATTATTGCATGTAATGTGGTAAAATCCACACTCTGATGTCCTCTTGCAGAGAAAAAAATAATAGTGTGTTAACTTCGGGGAAGCAGTTTCCCAGCATTACTAGTTGTTCTGGCTTGTCCCCTTGCACACCATCTTCACAGGCAGAAAAAATTAAAAACATTGGGGAAACCTAACTTTTAACAAATAATTGAAAATGCAATGAATGACACAAGTATGACACAAGTGCTGTTGCGAGAAAACTGTGCTGAAGATTCCTGTACCTAAGTGCCTGTCTCTGAGGAAAAAAAGGCCATATTCTTAGCACTGGCCAAATCCGAACATTTTCCTTTGTATTCTTTACACTTTTAGCAACACGGATTAATTATAGTTTCTAGTTGCTGGAACTATATGGCCGCACCAACCCTTCGTCCTGCAGGCTGTCAGATTCTTTTTCTTTGAAGAATTCCCTCACCATGTTTGGCTGGTGAATACAGATTTATTAAACCATTGTTGTTGTTCCTAGGACTTAGAAGAATTCTGCTTCAGGTTCTGCATAAACCATTTGACTGTGGTAACACAAACTTCAGGCTTTGCAGAAATGGACCACGATCTTCTGAAGAACTTCATCAGCAAAGCCAGCAGGGTTGGGGCCTTTAAAAACTGACTACCGCCTGCAGGAAAGGAACATGAAGCCTTTCCATTTCATCCCTGAAAAAAAAAAAAAAGAAAAAGAAAAAGAAAAAGAAAAAAAGCCACTGATGAATAACTTGTTTAACTAACAGTATTAATGAGAGCTACATCGGGCTGAATTCTTCTGTCAAAAGGAAGGTAGTCAAGTCAGTCTTCTCCATCTGCCCAAGCCCAGAGTTTACAGTAGAAGGCACTGAATATGCTCCGATTAGATGTGACTATACTCATGTTAAAAAATGATAATGTCATCATAGTTACCATTTCTTCTTTTGATCACTTATTGGATATCTTTGGTACCTTGGTATATGTCTGTGCTATTCTGGCCAAATGCTCCATTATTCAGCTGGCTGATATGTAGCTACACAAGGAATGCTGTCAACTACACATTTTTTGGCCTTTAGCACAGTGCCTTGTGTATAGAAGACACTCAGTTAACCTAGTGTCAATCTTTGAGGGTGGTCTGGGAACAGCTAGACGGTAGGATGAAGGTTATTACACAAAATAAATGGAATAGTCTCTAATTACTGAGGTTCATATTTTGGTTCATTGATAGTGGCTAATTTAGAGCATTATTAGAATTCACAGAAGGCCTTAGCAATTAAATTGTCAAAGGCCCAAGGGCTAATTTTAATTTTCTATTTACTCTTGAGTCATTAATTTCTCATTTGACATTATTGGGTATGAAGTATTAACTTTGAATGAATGTTGTATCTGGAATCATTTGCCTTACATAATTGCATAAACCCCTTTGCTTTTCTTTATATTGAGGGTCTTCCTCTGTAAGTAAAATTGATTATATGTTTTTCCTATAGCTGGCTTTTATGTCACTATAAGACAGGTTTCTTAACCTGACACTAGTGTAGTTAAACTAGATGGAGAGGAACTAATATATTTCATGGATACCAGTAACAAGATTGAGAAGTCTGAGTTTTTAGAGTAAAACAAGCCACCCAGTGGGAAAAGACAAACTGGAACAGGATATAGTGCCCCACTTTTTAAGTGTCTCACAATGTGATGTTATATGAAGAAATCCTTTTGGAAATAAAAATCTTGTTCTGATGTAGAATTATTTGATAATAAAGTGCTTCTTTGAAGATAATAGAACTGTCCTTTTAATTTTTAAGCAACAAAATCAAAATACCAACTTTGTCTCATAGGTATATATAAATCCATTTTTTATATTATATATTTGCTTCTTTAAGGCAGATCTTCATGTATAGTCTCATCAGAGTCTGTGTACTAAAGCATAAATGGTTTATAAACAATCCAGTTACTATTTTATCACCTTTCATTGTTGTTTGTTGGTAAGATTACTTTTCTTGAAGACTTAAATTTTTTTAGTAGTTTTAATTTCACACCAAAACAGGAAGGCTCAGCTATGTTCCCCTTGCCCCTGCCTCCCACATGTTGAACCCCTGCACTTTCAGCAGCATCTCCTGGCTGGTACATTAGTTACAGCTCATGAACCTATCTTCACACAACATCCTCAGTGAAGACGGCAGCTTGGTTTCATACATTCGGTGGGTTCGGATAAATACATGCTACATGTGTTCATCATAGTCCCGCACATAATAGTGACTGGTCTGGTTCATTTTTTACTGTCTCCATAGTTTTCTCTTTTCCAGAATGTCTTTGAAATCTGAGAATGTAGTCTTTTCATACTGGCTTTCTTTAATCTGTGATACACATTTCAGATCTTCCATGGCTTGGTAAATTTTTTTCAGTGTTGATTAATAGTCCACTCTCTGGATATATCACTGCATATCCATTCATCTACTGAACGACAACTTGATCGCTTTCAAGGATTTGGGCAGTTGTGAAGAAAGGATTAAATAACTGTATGTAGGGGTTTTTTTTCAGCTCCTTTTAGTAAATACCAAGGAATGTGATTATGTGATCATATGGTAAGGTTATGTTTAGTTTATTAAGAAACTGCCAAGCTGTCTTCCCACCAGCAGGAAGGAGAGTTCCCATTGTCCCACACTCTCACTAGCATGTGGTGGTTTTGTTCCAGATTCTGGCAGTTCTAACAGGTGTGTGGTGGTATGTCATTGTTTTCCTTAGCATTTCCCTATCTTGTTTCATGTGCTTATTTGCTGTGTATCTTCTTCGGTGATGTCTGTTTAGGTCTTTGGCTCATTATTGAGTTGTCTATTTTCCTTTTATTGGATTTTAAGAGTTCTTTGTATATTTTGGATAACCGTCATTTTTCAGATGTCTCATTTGTAAAAATTTTCTCACATCCTGTTAATCTGTGTTCCCCACCCCTCCCCCTTCTTCTTTTTTTGACATAGGTCTTGCTGTTTAATTCAGGCTGGCCTCAAACACACAGTCCCCCTGACAGTCTGCTGCTGAGTGCTGGGATTACAAGCATTTGTCACCATATCCAGCTCATTTTGAGTGTATAGTTTCGTTTGACAAACTGTCCATTTTTTGGAGACAGAAAGTGGATGCCTCTTGTCCTAAATGAATCCTACTTTTGGAGCCATGTATCCTTACTAACTTGTTATTTTCAAGGTTAGCCTCACATAATTGATTTTAAATTTTTGATAAGATTTGCTACTGTACCCAACAAAGCAGCATTCAGGTGTGGGAAGGACTTGCAGCCACCAGTTCTGGCAGGTAGACAAGCACTTTCTGTCTTGTCTTGCTCTTTCTCTATGCCCTGCATGGTTGCTGTAGCAGAGATGCCTCACTCTCCCTGCCTGTGTCTTTCTGACAGGGCCTCATGAAGCTCCTTGTTCCCCACCACCTTTTTTAACAAGCTCATTTCATAAAAATTGGAACAAAAGAGAACACAATAAAAAACAAAACATGGATGTAAAAGCAAGTTTCTGCAAATCAGCCTCATCAGCAGAAAGAGTCTCTTAAAGGCTGAGAACAGATATGTTTAGAGAAAGCTTACACACAGAGCAGCATGTAATGTAGACCACATCAAACCACTAGGTTCTTCAACTAGTTTATTTTAAAATAGACAAACTATTGTAGAAAATAGTAACATAGCAATTTTGAATGTATAGTTTTAACCAGTACAAAAAAAGCAATAGTGTATCTGAAGCCTTAAGAAATCTCAATACAGAACCTTTGAAATTCCTTCTGTCACTAATTCTAACTTGAACTTACTAGCAAAAGACCCAGAAGTATGGTAAGCCCTTGACCTAAATCCAGCTAATGTGTAAGATGTTCATGCAAAACTTAATAAAGAAATGGGAGAAGCTGTCTATTGCTTTTGTTATCAAGATAACTGTCAAAATAGTAAATTTGAAACTTAATTGAGCACAAAATAAAGTTTGTTTTCTAACAAGATCAGATTTCTTTTTAAAAAGAACTGAGTTGAGACAAAGTGATTTTCTTAAATGCTAGCTGATGCTACCTTAAATATCAACTATTTTAAATTATACCATCTCTAAATAAGTTAATCACACAAGACAGTTTAAATACACCTTTAGGCGGAGGGGTGAAGGGAGCGCCTCCAATTTTTAATGCAACTATTTAAATCTGAAGGTTTTGCACAAAATCAGAGAGAAACATTAATGCCTAACTTACGGACACCTTTGATTACTTGCAGTAATAGTGGACTAGAAATAATGTGGCTTTGAATGTGCTGGGGTTAGACCAGATTGACTTTTATAAAAAGGTAACTGCCAGTTCAAAACCTGGAAGACATGTACCATTCCAGAGAAAACAAATTTTCCCAAACTTAGGAGAGCAAAATAACTGTTCAGATGCAATTAAACAATTCTCTAAGGAAAAAAAAATTAAGGCTCCTATAGTTAACAGTCTGCTTAAGGAATGAAATTAATTTGTATCTTGACTTTTCAGGACCCAGAAACATTAGAAAGTGCACTTGGATTATACTGTATGAGGGTCCTCTGCAGCAAAGGTGTGGCTAGACTCTATACTTTTCAAGTACTACATGGGTTCTTATAAATTCAGTGATTTGAATTGGTTAAAAGAAAAAACCTGGAGTATTATCAATAATTTCAGTTTAAAGCATGAGTCGGATGAATAAAAGAATAAATTCCTATAGGTTCTGAGGTATGAAATCTGTCAGTAGTAAGACAGTGTCATATGTTTATACTTTGTTTTTCTCCTTGTATTTAAAAGGTAAAATACATAAAACAAGCACACAGCACATCAAATTCCAATATTAAAATAAGCCCAATGTGTATAAACTGGTAATTTTTTCCCGGTTTGTAACAATAATCTGTTTCAGTAGAAGAATTCAGAATAATTTAGTTGAATGGATAGTTAATCAAACTGCATTTGGAAGACAAGACACATTTTCTAAGGGTATTCACTTTAAATTAAAAAAATATACATATAAATTAATAAAAACAAGAGCAAACATCACACATGTGCTATGAGGGAAGGCAAAGTAGTCGGACAGGCTTGAGTGGCTGTTGGGATGCCTGCACCAGAGGCAGCCTCACCTCACGGAGCAGAGCAGGTCACTCTGGAAATGCAGACAATCTGCTCTAGCTTTTTAAATGGCATGATTTACACAAGATTCTCAATCCTGTGTAATAACAATTATATACCATTGAGTACAACATTGAAGTGGCTTAGGAATCACCCACACAAATACTCAACTTGCACTTGTACATTTTATATCTAAATGAGTAAACATGGCCATAAGCAGAACCTGGGAGAATTACACAGTCCATGAGACACAAAGTCAGAGGTGTCCACCAAGCTCCGACAGTGTCCAAGGCCGTGAAAATCCTCACTTTTCCTCCTTGTTGGAGATATCCATGCTGTCATTCATTTTTTGCTTTTGCATTCGTGTTCGAGTAGAAGCTGGAAAAATGATGAAAAATGTTAGTAGTGCTGAGGGTACTGGGTAAGTCGACAAGGGGCTGCCATGGCTACTGTGCTCATCTAGACAGATGGAGCTTCCAGTCTTGCAGTGGTCTTCATAGGCTTTGGGGGTTTGCCTTGGTTTCCATATAGGATCTTGCTATGTAGCCTGCTCTAGTCTCAGACTCATGCGCCCATCTAAATTCCCGAGTGCTGGGATTACAGGTACGTGCCAAAATGCCTGGATAAAGTTTCAAAAGCCAGATTTCCCAGTCACTAAATTCTTTTCTAACCACGAACAACCAGAATAAATGTCAGTAGTGTATGTGTGTAGAGACTATAAAATGTATGCCTCAAACATAAGAGAGAGAATAAAAATCATTGTCTTTGTCACCCCTGCCAAATACAGCCTTGCATATTCCTCCTTGTGCCCCTCTGCAGACTAGAGATGCTGAAGTCAAGCTTGGCTGCTGGAGCAGACTAGAACCATGGCTCCTGGCCTGAAGAGTAAGTGAAGCATTTTCAGCAATGCTAGGGAGCCCCTTGCTTTTGAAGACAGCTCACAGGTGCCACAAAGTTAAACGGAACATGTACATTTTAAAAGTAATTGTTAATTACAGTATGGACAAAACCAGAACACAAATTACTAGAAATTTTCTGACTTTACACATAAAATTGATGTATGTATATATAAAATAAAAGAAGGGGCTGGAGAAATGGCTCAGTGGCTAAGAGCATGGGCTCCTCTTGCAAAAGAACCAGGTTTGATTCCCAAAACCCACATGGCATCTACCAACTGCAAATGCAGTTCTAGGGGATCCAACATCCTCTTCTGACCTCTTCGGGTACTGCATGACACAGGGACACTTATATACATGCAGGCAGCACACTACATACACATAAAATAAAAATAATAAAATTTGAAAAAGAAGTGAAATTGCCTAGGAAAACAAAGGAGACAAATGGGAGAGGGAGGGGCAAGAAAAGGGAAGGTAGGAGGAGGGTGTTATGCCCAATTACAGTAAATATATACTTGGATAAAACTAAGAAAATACTTGACTTTAGAATTCTTCATTAAAACAAAGAAAACCCAAAACCCAGCAACAACACAAAGAAAGACTAGGGTGTAGTTCACTGGGCAGGATTCTTGAGTTTAATCTCCAGCACCAAAAAGGAAAAAAAAAAATTAATTTGAAAATGAAAGAAAACAGTCAAGCTTTACGCATCCCACTGCTACCGCCTTTCACTTGGGCAAGCCAGCATCCTGTGATGATCTATTGGAATGCAATTCTCTTTTCCCCCAGGATAACCCTGAATTTCTGATCCCTCTATCTCCACCTTCCAAAAAGTGTGTGGATTAGCAATGTACCACCATACCTGGTTTACTGCAATGCTGAGGATGAACCCAGGGCTCTGTGCACATTACCAATCAAGCCATATCCTCAGCCCTGAATACAAGTTTTTCTGTCCAACCAAAGAGCATCCTGGACAATGCCTTGCATGGCCTGTCAGCTTTAAACTCCCTTTGCTTGTCCTTAATGTCATAGCTCCATTTGGCACCAGAAAATGCACTGACTACAGCTATGAACCACTTCTCTAAGAAAATACACATCTTTTCACAGCCTTCTGCCCCTGGTAAAATATGTGTCTGTAGGCTCCAAATTACTATGTTTCAAGATTTTAATTTTATTATAAGTGTCATGTCTTTTTCATGTACTGGGGTATGGGGGAGCCATCACTACACAAGATAAAAATAGAAATGTATTAGTTGATGTAATATTTTAAGTGTCTGGTATATTTAGCCTTGGTTGAAACAACACAGGAAAAAGCTTAAAACTGGACCAGGAGCATTATTCTGCAAACTTTCTGTTGCAGTGTCCCCCAAGCCTGGCCCCTCCTCACACCTTCAGTGGTGCTTTCTTCCTTACACCCACATTTCCTGAATGTTCACCCTCATTCCCACTTTCTTTTCCTGCTGAAAATGTGCTGAGATGCTTCACTTCCCAGTCTTCTTACAGGAACCGTCTTAGGAAGAATGCTGACTTCACTATAGCGCCCTCTTAGTCCACAAATGTTGCGGTAAATATTGTACTCCTGGTTTGAATTATATTTTCAATGTGTTAGGAAGTCTGCTACTTGAAGGAATTACATGTGAATTCCTTCATAAACTTTAAAGGCTTTTTGCAATGAAAGCAAATGTTTCAAAGGAAAGAAAGTACTTACTCATCTCTGCCAGTTTCTGTTGGAATTTGGACTCCCCTGGGAGACGTTTACTGCAGATTGAAAAGAAACCCAATTATTTCATAAGCATAAATACAACTCAAGTTTCTAGTAACTATGGTGCTTTCAATGCCATGTTATGCTATTATTTTAGCAACTTTTAATTTCAAAAGCTTGTAAGTTACTGAAAATAAAGATGTCACAAACTCATGATCCTATATATTTTTCAGTGGTCCTTATAAAGCACACTAATATTTTTCAAGAGTAAGGATTTTTAATATTTAATGTTAAAACTAACAAAACTTTATCAATGTGTAAGACTATGATTAGACCTCTAACAACTGACATGTTACCGAATATTCACACCTTTCTTTTAGACAGGGTCTCCCTGAAGCCTGAGCTGGCCTGGAACTCGATATGTAGACTAGGCTGGCCTTGATCTCACAAGAGATCCACCTGCCTCTGCCTCTCAAGTGCTGGGACTAATGGTGTGTACCACCAATCCCAGCACACCTGTTATTTGGAGCTGTTCCCACAGCAGTGCTGAGACTCCCAGGTGCCCTGCTCATCTACTGGGACATCCACAGTTCCTACCTTCCATCTGTTTCATCTGATCCCTCGATGTCAAAGCGCAGTTTTTTCAGTGGTTTAGGAGGGTTGCTGCCTTCAGCATTCCTTTTGAGCACTCGGTCACTATTACATACCATCTGATTTATTTTCTGGAACTTCTCAGATGTCTATGAATTGTAGAGTTATTTAAAATCATTAAACAGCAACATTTTGAAGGCAGCAACTGCAAACTTTATTGTGAGGTGTCAATAGTAAGGCAGAAATATTCTCTTCATTTTGGTTCTGTGTTATTGGATTAAATAAGAGATTTTAAAAGAATAACTGTGTCAGTTATGCCCTCATTAAACACCCACTCCTTTTAAGTCCCCCTGCTTTTTCCCAAGAGACTCCAACTCTTCCTCTGTGGAACCTGTTCTGTCAAGCCCTGGCTTGTCCTTGTCAGGACTTACCCACAGATGAAACCAGGGCTTCTTCACAGAAGCAGCAGAGCTGGGTCAAATTTCTGGAACCTTGTTTTTTACAGTTTTGTCTTTATTAGGTTAGTTAGTTAGTGTGTATTAGATAATGAGGGATCTCAAAAAACTTTAATTCATCTTAGGGACATTATGTTGCCAGGACATACTGTTTGTGTATTACAAACTACCAATGATAATTGTATTTGAGGAAATGTTGCTAATTCAGAAAGTATTTCCCCTTCGGAGGATGGTGTGATAAGAATAGGAGGCAGGAATTGGCCAGGCAGTTAGGGTAAAAAGACCTCAAAGAAAAGTAGCCAGTTTCTTGGCTAAAAGTCACAATGTCCTTGG